CAAAGAAGGCAAAACTTCATCTTTGAGCTTCATGTGGAAGAAATGCCTAGTAACTGATGGGAGTGTTTTCAAACTTCTGTCTTACCAGAGGTGAGAAACCTTTCTGAGGGGGAAGACCTTGAAGGAACCATGCTTCATACCTTATCCTTACATATCCTTGGCATTCTGGATGTCTCAGCCAGCGACTTATTTCAGCCATCCCACCGTCTGATGCTGCTTCTTGCAGCAGATACTAGGTTAGATGGACTGGACTAACAGGAATTCTTTATGGAATAAACTGCTGTCCATCTGGCAGGTCAGGAGCTCTAATTCTCTCTTCTCCCCTCTTCAGCTGGTTGCTCCCTCTCCTTATGGAGGAGGTAGCTGTTGCTGTGTTGCCATTGCTGGAGGCACTTCCAAGGCAATAACAGAGCAGTGGCGATCCCATGGATGGTGAAGATCCTTTTTCTGCTGCAGTACCTTGAAGGTAAAGTGTCAGCTAGGAAGGGAGTGATTAGAAGAGGTCAGAAAGAAAGCATGAAAAGGTAGTTTTTCAGTGTGACAGAGAGGAATTGACCTTCATTCCATACAACTTGTTTCACATCCCTTCCAGCTCCAGGGAGCCAGGAGGAGCAAACCGCAGAGATCAGTTGGGTCCCAGAAACTTGACTGGGCCTACCTTGGGAAGTGTATTAGTGTTTAGATGCTACCCTAGGAAATGTATATGTCTGGTGGCTGAGAGAGCAGGACATGAGTCTTCTGAGTAAGGTAGGTTAAAATTACCTCTCCTCCTTTCCACCCGGCCCTTGAATTGCAAAAGATGCCACACTTTCTTGTGCCCCACGTTGCCCATCAGCAGACTTCCTTCTCTCAGGTGTCCTGCACCAAACCTGGGGCTGGGCAAAACTTTTTCCCAGTTGTATGTGGACTCAGAGCCCTTGCATCGCCAGGCAGCAGCTCTTGAACTGGAAAAGGCTTTTGGATAAAGTCTGGGAAATGCTGTCAAGTTTTTGAGAGACTAGAACTTTGTGCACATTTGGCAAATGTGTTGAGGTAGAAGAAGCCTTCTCTCCTCATCAAGGAGCATAAAAAACTCCTAACAGAGAAAACATTGATCCCATAAGAGTTTATTCTGTTAAATATGCAAAAAAGCTCCAGTGTTTGTAGACCAGTGCCAGTGTGCAAAGTAAGCTATTCTCATCACATCCTTCCCAACCTCTCCAAGGACTGAGCCCAGTGGAGGCTTTGAAGTTTCTCAGGTGATGCTTTGCTCAGGGAGCCAGGAAGGCATAGCCATTTTCTCCTGGGATTGAGAGACATGGATGCATTTTCCCGTGTCATTTCAGCTCTTCAGTTATGGCAGGAAGACAGGCATCCCACCCTGCAGGAGAGAGCAGCTCAGGCCCTCTGGACAACTGACCAGCTCCAGCAACCAGGAGGTGATCCTAGTTTTTCTAGGGTTATGCCTGTCTGTGCTTGTTTTTGTTTTCTGGCAATGTGGGATTAGTGTTCCAAAGGAGAGAAGGAGAATTCCTGTTTGGTTGGTTTTTTAAATTTCAAAATACCCAAGAGTTGTTTGAATATCACAGTGGACAATGGAAATCCTAGTCCACCACTTAAACCTGCTTCTCTGGCAAGCCGGGGAGGGCACAAAGTTGAAAAGCTCTTCCCTTTAGGAAAGCATCCCAGCCCGTGCTGAAGGAAGCACTGTGGAGACTTTGTCCTCTCTGTGTGAGCCACATGGGAAGCACACTGTGATTCTGAGGAGGCAGCAGGAGGTACTGTGAAGGGCAGGACATGCATGGGAACTGAAAGCAAGCCAGGAACAGGGTTTGTGACTCCAGCAGTAAATGCACATAGGCTCTTTAGGTACCTGTGCCTCTATTCGGAAGGATATTTGTCTGTCTATCACACATACAGGAGTTATTTAATCCCCCAGTGAAATGCCAGAAGAAAAAAAAAAACATTAGACAACAGAGTATACAAGTTTGGTTTTTTTTTTAATTGTTAAGTGAAATTGTATAAAGTGCAAATAAATCAATATAAAAAATCAGGGAAAGAAAGTGCAGTCCAGGAGTTTACCACTTTAATTAGCTAGAGGATTAAGATTGTTTTGGAACACCAGAAAGACCAGATGCGAATTATTTGGTCTTTTTGAAGCACTTTCTTCAAGAGTTTGACGACTTTCTCCCTGTGGGAAAGAAGCACAAAATATAGAGACTGTACTGGAAATGGAAAATGCAGACAACTGTGTTTTATTCCTAGTGTTACTCTAGCATGCTCTGAGCAAGGTGGTGCCTAAAGAAAAGCAAACCTGACAAAGTTTACCCTGTGGGGTCAATTCTGGTTATGTTCCACTCCTACTGCTGAATAGTTTCTGCCTTCACTGAATTGTCCCATTGATTTGGTAAGTGGCGCAGTATCTCTCATTTCCCTGCCAGCAGCCCCACTCACTGAAACAGCTCATTCGCAGAGCAAGGTCCACAGGATTTGTTTGGCAATATGTGGGTGTGCAGGAAGACAGTGTGCCAGACCGCTGCACTGCTGCTCCATCACCTCTTGGTTGCAGTGGGGACACAGTACAGAAGGAACATAGTGAACAGAGTATACAGGAATGTGTTTTTCCCAAGTTTGTTCCCCTTCTTTCTTTTTGGTAATTTGATGAGGCCCTTGCAATCAGGGAGAGTAGTGAAACCTGTACCCCAGTAGATTTTGTCTTGAAAAGAAAATCTCATCATGAATTTACCGTATAACTTCTGAATTCCTCGCCTATCGTCCTCTGAAAGTCTGAAGGTTGCTGGGTTCACATATGTGTAGATAGGGTACATGAGAGCTTCACGGACATTTGAATGAGCAAGTCCCAAAGAATGGCCAAATTCGTGAGCAGCAACAAGAAACAAATTAACTTCTGCAGCACAGAAGCATAGAAAAGTATGTTAAAGGTATGGCATTTCTATTTAGCATACAAAGAATCGAAGTAGCAGGAGAATTTATATCTTTCATTCCCTTGGAATGAAACCTCAGAGTTTTGATCAGCTATTACTGAACTTTCTTATGTAACTATAATATTTTAATAAAATCATGACCGATCCCTTGCATACACATCTAGAGACCTTGAGTCTCTTTCCAACTCTGCTTTTAGTCAACCTTCTTCCTACAAGCAAGTAATTTTACCTTTTCATAATTTATGTAGAAAGCAGAGGCTCATAGTCCTTGTTTAGCCTGTGAAAAGTGCTTTAAAATATGGACAGAACAGGCATTATGTAGCTGCTAATGATAATGAAGCACAACTGCTTAGAAAGGTAGTTGAAAAGAACAGAAATGTTGGTACTGAAATGGTACCGAAGCATGAAGAGTTATGGAAAGCATTTCCTATGGCTGTGTTCTTTTAACATGTACAATATTCGCCTTTCCCCTTCATATACACACATAGGTTTTACCTCGATTGGACTCTGACCACCTTTCATCATCATCAAAATGAGCATCTCCACCAAGCCCTTCTCCAGGTGCAAACGCATGAGCTAGTGTGTTACCTCTTCCGTCAAAAGGATATCCATCACCGTGCTCTGCATTTGAAAAGAAATAAATGTCATCAGATGGCATCAGCTGTAATGTTTAAATTCAGCAAATTGAAGCATGTTGCTTGTTTGTGCTAGTTTTGTTCGTTACCAAGCCTTAAAAAAAAATCCTACAATAGCAGCAAGGTTGTAAAAATGAGGAGCAAGGCTTAGGAAAGACTCTCACAATTCATAACTTAAGCTTAAAACTTGTATTTGATAATTCAGGCTGCTGCATGTTTCAGAAAGAGCTGAACATTTTTTCTGAGCCTTTGTCAGAATGTGTTTCTGAGGCAGCAATCAAGGATTATTTCAGAATAAATACTTGATGCTTGACGATGTTATAAGCACCTGAATGTTTTCAATATTGGAAAGTGCTGGGCAACATTAGTTGTAGCCATTCTCACTTGTACTGATTTTAGTGGAAGACAATGGTTTCCCTGAAGGGAACATTTGTCCCCAGCCTTGGGGTATGGTCTATTACCTACTTCTATCACAGTGCATGTGGAACGTTACCATTTCCTACCTTGAGTGCAAGAGCTGACAGGATGGTATGTTTGTACCAGCTCTGAAAATTTCCCCCTACCCCTTAGTGAGCTTCTGACTTGATTGAGGAGTATTTGGGGACTCAAATGCCATTTTGTGTCCTTTCCCTCAGACCAGGTGGATGGACCTTGGGGCAGGGCTAGCACAGGCAGAAGAGACCTAGTCCTAGTGCATGACGAGGGATTAAAACCCATTCCAGCTTGCAGGATCCTTTCTCACTTTGACTTGCACATTAGTTGACTCTTCATGGCAACATAATATGCTTCCCATCAGTGAAGCATGAGCTTGGGACACTTTGGTGTTCATATGCCATCATCTACTTGTAAGCCAGGTGTCTAATCTTCACTTACAGCCAATGGAGATCTAGCAAATACTGTCAATGGATCTAGAGAACAAGTCAGCTAACTTTAAAGTAGGCATTTAGTTTGGCTAAGTTGAGTCAGTTTAGGTGCCAGGCACAAGTTGTGGCTACATCCATGTATTAGTCTGGATCACAAGTGAGCTTCTGAAGTGACTCTACTGATCCGCATTTACCGTGCTTTGGCTTGCACCTTGGTGCAATTTTGGAGTGCACCAATGGTATTCCTTCTAGAAGAAAATCAACTAGAAGATACTCTCTATGGCCAAACCTAATGCACCCCAGCTGCCAAAGACTGTTTAGTCCAGGGAACCAGACTAGATCTAGACCAAAGTAAACCTGCCTGAACCTGCCTGAATCCAGTCTGTGGAGGCTGGATCTTCAGAACCGGCTGGTTTGCTCTACAGATCTGTTCCCATTACTTTGCACTATTTGTCAAGGCAGACAGAGCCTTGAACATCTAAATTTAGGTGTCTCATTCTGGAGCTGAATTCCCCCTCCATTTCACAGCTGTAACTCTGCAAGGATTTTCTAATGGTTTCATAGGAGGAAAACTGAATCATAACATACAAGTTTGGTGGCATGATAAAGAGAAGATAAAATTTATGCAGACTTCAGAATAATTCCAAACTCTTTGTTCTTTCTTAAAGCTGTGGCTATAAAAATATATGCTTTAAGTCAAATATAGACCATTGCATTTTAAAAATGACGGGTATTCTCACCATGACGCGCAAATCCAATCACAATGTCTGCATGTCCCTTGAATACTCTTTGGAACTGCAGTGGAGTCACATCACTCCATACCATAAAAGCCCTTCTAATTGCATCATCCACTTTCTTTCGGGGTAGATCAGGTGTATAATTGAAAATTCTGGCAGCAAAAGGAAACAGATTAATGTCATTTAGGGTGTGAAGGAAACCCACATAGTTAAACACGAAGCAACCCCTTCCCCATAAAACCTGAAACATCACTAACTTGTAAGTCAAATGTGTCTTTTTCCATCTTGGATTTCCAGGAAATATTTTGTAGTCTGCTATATCGGGGACTCCACATCTGGGCTGTTTCATTGTTTCTTCTGTTTCTGCATTTAATTTTCCAGTTACAGTCAGGTGGAAAAACCTCTGCATTTCTTTAATCCTGTCTTCTAAGCTTAGGCTTTGTGTTTTTGTAAAAAGTGGAAAGAATTTATCAAGATATGCCTGGAAGAAGAAAAGGAAAATAAAAATTAGTATCTGTGATCTTTTAGTGATTACATTTTACATTTGATTGAATTGTTTCATTGTCCTGCAGTCATGGATAGTTTCAGATGTGTTTTTTCTTCCTATTTCAGTTTAGCAAGTGCTGTTTTTCTCTGTAGTATAGATTAGCATATATAAAAAGAATTGCAATAGCAGCAAAACACTGTAAGCAAGAAATCCTTTTAAATAAGGATTTACTGAGCACTCAAATCCGCAGCCTTCCAATGTAGTCTATATAATATTTTTTAGATGTTTTAAAAATGACATGCTCCCCTTTATTTACCAGTTGGAACTTGGTCTCTTTTGTAAGTTATCTAAGCTAGTCAGCAAGTTTAAATTGTTTTATGTCACCTCTGCAAAAACTGTTGTAAGATAAGAAGATAATATAAACCGATAGAAAAGGAATGTAGAAACTGAATCAAAAACCAGGTTATTCATAATGCAGTTATGTTGTCCCCCTGGTAACATACCTTTGCATTCTCAAAGGCTGTGTTGCCCCATGATTCTCGTGCTGGAAAAGCAAGACTCTCAGGTAGGAGGATGGCAGCACAAAGTAGGAGGTATTGCATAGTGCCCAGCTTGCTAAGGAGCCTTGCTACAGCAGAAAGGGTTTCACCTTCTGTCTCTCAAGACCACAGCTAAAATGCTTATATAGATCCTGATAGCTCCAAGTGGCAGTTACATGTGACTCACTTTTTGGTGGTGTTAATGTAATGTCATCACTATTCTAAGAAGTAAACAAAAGCATGTTAAACAAATCTTTCTTTTGACTTCCCTGTTGATGTCATGTCACAGCTACCAGCCAGCTTTGGCTCTCTCTTTTCATATCATTCCAATAGTGAAACCACAGGGTCATAGGGAAGTTCACTTCTGTAACTTCATCAGTACAGTTACTGTATAACCACTTCTTACTGGGCTTCCTCCAAATTCCTTAGACACAAAGGCATTTTGCAACAGCCTTTTGCTCAGACAGCCTGCCTGTATTAGTTGATGCAGAGGCAGAGATGGGATGGATAGGAGCGCTATCTCACTGAAACTACTGGCATTTCCTAGGGAGCATGCACAACACTGTCTAGGTAATTTTTCTGATTCACATTCTCTTGTGAGGTATCCTATGCTGCAGGAAATCCAGTTCAGTGAAGTTAAAGAGGTTTCTGCTGTTTTTACAGAGAT